GGGGGGGGGGGGGGGGGGGGGGGATTGAAGAAGCAAAAATAAAAACAATATGCCTTTTAAAAATAAGGCTAACATGTTGGTGTAACATTAACTGTGCTGTGTCATACTTTGTAATCATTGTTTTAGTCTGTAGTTGAGTTCTTCCATGAACCACTAGGTACTACCCTAACTATGATAGCAGTAGTAATGTTAGTTAGGAGCATTCAGTGATTAATTCATTTTCAGTCAGTTTTTAATTGTTAGTGTCATAGGTAGGTCATAGGTTTTAAAAAAACTGATATAGAGTGCCCCAGGAATGAGTCCAAAAACCCCAAAATGAGTTAGCATTTTTGCACTAACAGTTCCCCTATATCAAAGTCAATGGGTTTCTGGCTAGATGCTTGAAATAAGACCTGTGGTTAACACAAGCTTTAGACTTTCACATTTTGTTCTACGACATAACATCCATCAATAAATACCCCACTTGGGAACTCTGCTTTTGTGCATCTTGGAAAAAAAGGCGGTTGCAACAAGTGGCTAAATAAGACTACAAATGTCATCATCCCGAGCCGTGCCGAACACACTTTACATGCTCACTATGGTGGTGATGTTAGGTCATGCGACCTTAGTGTAGTTATAACCTCATGTTAGCTTTTTACTTCTGGCAATTGCATTTAGGCTTCAATAATCATGAAAGTGGTGCTTATTTGTGAACATTATCTTGCTGAACACACTTTTCCAACAATCACTCAAATGGATTCTGGTGGGTTTGGCAAATTTTGAGGCTGTTTCTGGTTAAACAAATAAAGATCTGTATCTGTAGCGATCCTTTCCATTATGTTGTCAGACACTTAGATTAACAATCTGAACATGTTGGTGGCAAAAAGAAGCACTTTTAGTGGACATAAATCCACTATGCAAACATCCTGTTTGGTCACATGGTGGTTGGCTGCAGCACTCTCACTCAACACTGGACCAGTTTTAAACAGTGTTGTTCCTATTAGTCATTTAGACAGGAAAATATGGTCCAGGTAAGAAAATACCTTACTCATAATACATTTAACCCTTTTGCCATTGTACAAAAATAGGCCAAACTGCTCATGCATCCCTTCTGAAGTCATGCAGAGGGCCTCCAGCTAGTTTTAAACACATGGGGAAAAAACTATAAAACTAATAGCTAGTCTAAGAAAAGGTATATGAATTTAGATTGGGTAACGTCTAATCAAAGAATTTAAACAAGCCTAAGAATCTGACCACGAGTTCAAAAACAGGAAAAGAAAATTGTAAAAAAAAATGCTCATCACAATTTCCCAAAGCTGTTTTCTACAAAACTGTAAAGCAACACAATTCAGGAGGATGAACTGATTGTATTCCAACATCTGAAAGTGTCCAGTCCCCAAAACAAACTCAACCTTCACTGGACATAATGACAAAACACCTTGACGTTGCATTTCCAGAGGTAAAGGCATTATATTCAACAGCAGCAAAAAAAAAGCAAAACTCAGAATTGTAGTGCAAAACATTGAAGACGATCTTTATTGTTCACAGTTAAACACAAGCCACTGCTTTAAGAACTTCCTTTTTTGCCATTATATCCCAGATTCTCCAGCTCTGGTCAGAGTCCTGGTTTCTTCAGTTTGTGCTGATTGTACCTTCTGTCTTGGTTTGCGGTAGTTACTACGGTTGGCATTTAAAGTGGATTGTTGAACATGCTTTAGATAGCGAGGCAAAAGGAAGTGACAGCAGGAGTTCCCGGTGGACAACAGGATTTAGACGACTTTTGATACCGGAGTTTCTTCTAATACTCAGGAAAAAAAAACAAGGTAACTCCCTGTTTATCAGACCTGCAGAAAGGAATGTGATTGGACAAGATGTTTCTGGTTCTGCTTCAACAACAACACTTCTGTTAAGAGTTGTCTGAATTCAGCCATAACAAAAAAAATGTTTCATGGCACGTCAATTTGATTAGCTGGTCACCTTGAGCAGAAAAAAAAAGATTTTTACAACTTGGGCTTGTGTCACCTGCCAGGTCTGGTTCAAATTTAGGATATGTACTTGTGAGCACCCTTCATGGCTGAATAAATAAAAAATAAAAAGCTACAACAGAAAGTGGAATTCATAAAAATGCATACAATTTCATCAGTCTCAAAATTTCATACACTTTTTCCTCATTGCATCTTTGCTGAAATATGAGAACCAACATGACATCCTCACCTGCACGCCTGCACATTCTCAAACAAAACACACTCTCCCCCAGACAAAAACTCAATGGAGTCTCATATGGAAATGTTAGTTAACAATCTGGTCCACTTTCAGGTTTCCTCAGAACAAACCAGCCGTCTCTACGTACCGACCACCTTCACTGCTCCGATCTTACACTCAACATGCACTCTGATATCAAAAACATATTTCAGTCTGCGGTCAACGTCAAAACGCGCCGAACAGATGATCATGACAAATTCCATCTCATGCTCCTCTGGTGTTTTTTAAGATCTTATTTGTTTGTAAGGCATCAGTTCATCAAAATTACTAAAGAACCCGGCATTTTCTCTCGTAGCTCCAGTGGTGCTGACTAGAGCAAAAAGTTTAGGTTGTATTTGTCATTTCTGTCTCGACAGGCAAAATTTAATTTGTGGTGCTCGCATCGTCAACGAAAATGAACACAAACGGTGTCCACATTTTTCTGGATAATCCACAGACCTCTCTGTAACTCTTTTTAAAGGGGCTAAAACTCAGACAGGAACTTTATCTGGGTTTCCATGGGAATGTTAAGCAAATTTTAATTTCCATCTAGAGACGATGAAGAGAGCCTGCAGTGGCCTGTGCAATGACGGCCCATGACTGTACCTCATCTTTAATTTGCTAAATCTTAGTAGCATTTACCAGCAACTCTTCCACCTCACCCAAGCATAAGAACTTTTTTGCAAAGTTTGGAAAATTTGGCCATTTCCACTCAGGGTTTTTTTTAGTGCAAATTGGAAATACACCTTAAAACAGACAGATGGAAACACGCCTTGTGACACTATTTCAGAAGACATGTTGCTGCTGAAACGTGATCTTTCAATGCTTGTGAGTACCACAAACAAAATGCCACTCACTTCAATTGTGTTGGCTGTAAAGGCAGAAATCTTCGAGATAGGTATCTAAAATTTGGACTAATTAGAGCTTGACTGGCCTTATACAATTGGAGCCAAGTGGGATTTTTGCAGTTTGCGTGAACTGACCCTTTAAACGTCAGACTCACAATGTCAAATGGAAGTTATTGATAACTTCGATCACTGCTGGCATTTCTTTGAGCATCTTTCTCTCAAAAACAAATTCATAAGACCAGTAGTAACACATGGACTTTGTATCCCAGTAACCTTGTCAAAATTCTTCAGGGGAATGATTCAGTATAAGAAGAAAAAAAAAAAAGTTGAAAAGCATTGTGGGAAATCCTGTTGTCCACTCAGAGGAATGGAACAAATAACACTGAATTCCAAAGAGTTGCTGACATTAACTCTTTTGCTGATTTGTAGCTCTTCTTCATCGTTAAACTTCAGTCTTTCAACCTCCGCCCTGCATCCCGGCTCAGTTCTGTGTCTCTAACTGTGCTCGTGATGTGTCTCATTATAGTCCATGATCTTTAGCTGCTGCTGCCGGGGACGCCCTGACCCCGCCTGACCCCGCCCTCCACCTGCCCCTGCTCTCCTGCGGGGGCTTTCCTGGCTGGAGGCCCGCTGCTTGGACTCAGAGGGGGGCTCCTTAGTGGGCACAGTAAGTGGAGAGGCGGTGGCGTGGGCTTGGGGAGGGGGCGGAGTCAGGATGGGGGAGGGTGCAGGGCCAGCGGAGGCGATATAACCTGGGCAGGGCGGTTCCACGCACAGCTCAGTCTTCAGGCCGTGGGCAAGTCCGGCCAAGCGCGTCGGCGGTTGCTCCTCATCGCACTGGCTCTCGCTCTTGTTGCGGAACAGCTCACGAGCCCTCATGCCCAGGAAGCTCTTGGCGCTGGGGTAGGAGCCCACAGTGAGCGGCGCATCCGAGGGGGGCAGGGGAGCGAGCGGGTTAGCGTAGGGACAGGACAGAGAAGGCTCCACCAGCAGGGGTGGGGCCACGTCCTGGCTGCCATTGATGGAGTTGGCTGCTGTCTTGGAAGAGTTGCTCGCTTTTAGTTGCCGTGGTGATAAAGTGCTGCCGTTGCCCCTGGGGGAATCGTGTGGTGGTCTGATGTCCACCTCCTCGTTGGTGTGAGTTTTACTTGGTCCATCTGGAACCATGATACTGTGGAGGACAAATATTCACACATAAAAAACAACATTCACATACGCTTTACGTCTCATCTCATTTTCAGTAATCAAAGAAGTATATTTTTGGGGGTGTTGGCGTTGCTCTAGTTAGGCTACTCAACACTGAGGCTGGCGAGCCGACGCTTTGTATTTAAATTAATGTTAATGTAAGTTTAAACAAAGACACTGTGAGTTTACAATCAGGGCCTGTGTTTTAAATGCATTATGCTATGTACATGTGGGACAGTGACACAGTGGTTAGGATTGTTGTCTCGTAGCAAGAGGGTTCCTGGTTCAAATCCAGGGTGAGGTGTGTGCTTCCTCCCACAGTCAAAAGACAATAAATCGCCGGTAGGTGTGAATGTGAGTGTGAATGGTTGTCTCTCTCTATGTGTCAGCCCTGTGATAGTCTCGTGACCTGTCCAGGGTGTACCTTGCCCTCCCTAATGTAGCATAATGAAGTGCAATAAATAAAAAACTAAATTCATAATGTCCAATAGACTCCAAATGACCCAATCAACCGAACTACAAGTTAGGTTTGGTCATACAACCTCACTGTAAAAGATCCGAACTATCCCTTTAAACTGTCACCAACCATATAGTTTGAATACCACTGTACACCAGTAAGCTGGTTAAATCGTGTAGTAAAATTGGTAGTGTAGCCGTCACACAATACTATGCAGCTACATTAAAAAGAGTGCTCTGAGCCTGACCTGGAGTCAGCACGAGTGTGTTGGTCAGCTCTGCCCCCTGGTGGTGAACTAGTGGCGTTGCTGGCAGGAGCCTCCATCTCCACTCTGCTGTAGAGCTGCAGGAGTTCAGTCTGCAGCAGCTGAGTGATTCTCCTCTGGGCCTGATATCTGCTGTCTGAGGCCTGCAGCTCCGCCCTGCAAAGAGAGACGAGACGGGGACGAGGAAATAGATGAAGAGGGAAAGATAATATGAGTACGATTGAAATAGAGAAAGGGAAAAAATATAGGGAGAAGACATGGGAAGAGACACAGACAGTATAAAAGAGACAAAGAAACAAGCGATGGATTTTCACAGGAGCTTTGTACCTGCATCCATTAATACAAACAAACTGACTCATGTCCTCCTGATTAAAATGCTGTTGTATTGAGGCTCAGTTGCCAAAGTGATGATCACTAATATCAAAATGAATTACAATAACAGTCTCTTTTTTTTAATCCAAGTTTATTTTGAGGACTTGGGGGGGTTCATACTCACTTCGCTTGACACTTCACATCTTCCAGAAACTTCTTCTGCTCTGCGATGAGGTGTTCCTTCTTGGAGAGGTGCGTCTCCAGCTCGGCGACTCGCTGCTGCGCTGCCTCCAGTTTCTGACCCTGAACCAGCAGGCTCTGCCTCAGCGTCTCCACCTCTTTCCCGTAAGACACCTTCAGCATCTGGGCCTCCTGGATGATGAGGGTCATTGTCAAGAGCGTGACAAGAGCAGAAAGGGACAAGACATGAATGAGAAGGTGAAAAAGACATGATGAAAGATTGTGGAGCACTGAGGTTATTATTTTTCTATTTACAGTTAATGGTATTTTGTACTATTATCTACAGTTCTTGTGAATGCAGTCTGACTCAGGGATCTACAACAATTAAGAAAGTAGTCTGTGGTACATTCAGTGGAGCTTTGAACATCCCAAAACTGACTGTCAACTGTTGATGAGCATCAGAATTATAAAAAATAATCATACCATAACTGAACCAAAAAGAATGATGCAATAATATGCATGAAACAGGTGTCTTTGTGATCTAAACTAAATATCATGCGCATTTTCAAACAGGATGTAAACATTTTCAAGACATTAAAAGATACAAAATTTTCAGTCAGTGATTTATTTGGAAGATGGATAAAATGTGAAAGGATGAGCTGGTAAACACAGATGAGACATGTCTGTGTTTCCAACAGAAAGTTAATCTGTGTGTGGTGGTAGCTGACTGTGTGTATGTGTGGGTGAGGGGGGTGAGTTTGAGTTTGAGATGGCATTTTTAGTCAGATAAATCAGAGCTGATCAAATCAGATCGATGGATTAGAGGGGCAGCTGCTGCAGAGGTGAGTGAAAGCAAACTTTCTGTTGCTGCCATTACACAGGTTAGACACAGCGTTGGACCTAGAGGTGCAAAGTTTAAATGGCAATGCAGGTTGGAAAAATGATGTACAAAACTAAAATGGGAGTAGTGTTGTTCTACGAAACAGAGCGTTCTATTTCTATATGATTTAACCAACGATTAAGTTTCATTTTTACTGCATCTGGCGCTCTACTGCGCTCCAGTGTGTGGTGCTCTGGATAATCGAACTGTATATATATATTCCAACAGTTCCCCTTATGAAAGGTCCAGCTCCAAAAATAGAAAATCACTACGGAGGTGGCGATTGTAGATATCATGGTGGGCTGCCACAAATCGATGCATGTGTGGAAAACCCTGTATGTGTCGGGGCCATTCAGGGTGTACAGAGAAACATTAAAAACACAACATGAACATGTCACAGTTTGTATCATTGCTCTCCTTTTCACATTTTATGAAGTAAGACTGCAACTAAACAATATTTTAATCATCAATTTATATGCAGATTTTTATCCCAATTAATCAACGAGTCCTTTTTTTCTCATGACAAGAACAAAAAAAGCTATTAAAAATGTCCTGGAGCACAAGGTGAAATGAAATTGCATGTTTTTTTCTGACCAACACTATTTTAAACACCAAAATCTTTTCTGTTTGTCTGCTAAATTACTCTTAGATGGCAGAAGTGAAAAAATTAGAACATGTGGCTTCAACTCTGCATTGTTAGTCAACACACCTGAACCTGTCAGGCTTCGTTGAGGGTAAAACACAAAGACTGTTCTTAGATTAACTTTCCTTCCTTTCACTTCCTGGTAACCTCTGTTTGCTGAGTTTATAAGTGGAATTTATTTCATGATAGACCTAACAAATAATGAGGCCTGAAATAATATACAATTAAAATTACCCTCTGACTACACTGAAGTCTACACTATGATCGTGACATATCTCCATAGATGATGTTACAGCAAAGCTAAAAACGCTTCAGTCGAACAGTTTGACTTGGCGCCCAACAAACCCAATTAGTGTCCCTTTTTTCACCTCAGTACGTCGTCTCTGCAGTTCTCTGCATCTGTCACACACACACGCACGCACGCACGCACGCACGCACGCACGCACGCACGCACACACACTTTTCCTTCCACCATACCTTTGTATTATCGGTGCCTGTGTGGTGTAACTCCTGCATGGACAGCTTATGCGCCTCCCCGAGGAGCAGCAGCTGCTTGTTCAGGAAGCTCATCTGCTGCTGGGTGCTCTCGCTGTTGCTCAGCTGAAGGACACACGAGACAAACAATGACGACGGAGGGCAAAACAGCAATTATGCTACAAATCAAACCTGTCCAAAAATATCTAGGGATGCATCAACAATAAGTGCAACAGTATAAGTCATTAATGATCTGTCTGAACCCACTGAAGATCCGACAAGCTGCAGCAAATGAGCCGTGCGAATATTTAAATAAGGAGCTCCTTTTGTCCCGAACTAATTTTAATTTATGACACAACTTCACTTTGTGGTCAGCGCAAGATGGAAGTGTTATGCTGTGCAGACATTCCATGAAAAGGATCTTCACAGGGTATTAAAGCGTACAGTCGATTCATTCTGTCTAAATATCGTAAATAAGGAGCTTTAGTGGACTGTGTGGATTCAGCCCAATTTGAAAAGCCTGCTTCCTGAATCAACGCCTCCTTGTTTGTCAGGATTTGGGTTCAGCCTGGGTCAGACGAGGGAAACAGACCTCAGACAAACCCCAGGAGGCAGAAAAACACCCAGACCCCCTCTGCGCCGCTGACCCAAAAATAGAGGGGGAGACAGCATCTCCAAGGCAACCAAGCCCTGGGACAGTCTGCAGTCTACAGAGAGGTGGCAGGATGAGGACGGGGGCATGTGCTGTTGTAACCCCCTGAGTCTGACCCAACTGTCCGCCAGCCTGCTCACTATCCTGCCCAATTCCTCCATTTAGAAAGGCACAGGGAACATTTTGATTTAAATTTTACACCGGATGAGCCTGAAGGGCAGCAACCAAACAAACAATCTTGCTGATTTAACATATTTTTAAATAGCAAAATAAAGAGTGAATAGCGCCCATATGGGTTGTTAGCACAGACAGCCCAGACGTGAAACATAAAAATGTAGAAAACATTGTTGTTTTTGGCAGGAATTTCATACAATACAGGAAAGATTAAATGCAAGTTTGATCTGACCAATTCAATTCAACTTCCAGTGATACACAACATATACAATGATAAATCCGCAACGTATTTAGACTGATTTAATTTTATACATACAGACAAAAGAAATCAAACTCCCTTCAATGCGGTATGTTGCCATACACAATCAAAATATAAGTAAAAACAAGTAAGAACTGGAAATGTCAGGCCGAAAAAAAAAAACACTCCCAAAAGGTTCTTGAAACATGACTACATGTCACCCCTTTCACACATGCATTATATAAAGTCAGTGTGCTGGCAATTTTACATGTTGGCTGAATGTCTGAATAATCACCCAGATCACAGAAAGCTATGCGTACATAAATAAATGTGTCGCTTCAAGGGACAGTTTGGCTCTCGGGAAGTGGGGTTGTGTGAGGCACTTATCCACACTCAGTGTTTAACATACAGAAGTGGCAGTCGGCACACAGGTTAACTTGGAAAGTAAACAATGCACTACTGTAGCAGGGGCAGGAGCAAAATGTATGTTAGTCACATAAAAAATTCAATAACATTTTACGTGTACGCTATATCTAGAATACTGTCACTACTTTACCCTGACACAGACAGCCTGTTACAACGGGAAATGCATTAACAGCTTCAGTTCCCCATCTATGCTCCCGTCAGAGCCACCAGACTCCACTGACAAAAACAGCAATTTTACCTCACTGAACATGTGAGCTGCTGGTCTACCACTGCCTCCATCGGTTAGTTTGTTTGTGTTAATGTGTCACTTTGGTCAATCTGAACTAACGCTTTTAAATGCTAAAGTCACACAATAAATAAAACAAACTAACTGTGCGAGACAGTGGCAGACCAGCAGCTCCTGTGTTCAGCTATGAGAAATTACTGTTTTTCTCAATGAAGTCTGGCTTTGAAGAGAGTGATACAACGGCTTCAGCTCCCCGTCAGAAAGGGCTGTCTGGCTCTGGGATAAAGCGGTGAAAATACTTCAACTGATTTTTTTTTTCAGGTGGCTAAAATACGTTACATTGCTGCCTCCGTCCATAGCAGTAGATTGCTTAGCTTCTGTGTCAGCACTCCTGCCTGCTTCTCCAAACTAAGGGTGTACTGACTGACATTTACTGTATGTAATACACTGACTATGGATAAGTGCCTCTTACAACCCCACTTCAAATGATCCAAACTATATCTTAAAGTGTCTAATGCAAAAAGGTTTAATAAATCAAACACAGTGAATGGACTAATTTTACATTTATAAGGAGATCTGTCTCATGTGACATCTGTCTCAAAAAAAGATTTTTTTCCCCTCACAGTTCAGCACAAAAGAGCCAAAAAGCCCCTTCATACAACTATATAATTATCCTTCTGTATATTTTAATTTATTCATCCATGTCAATTGCACTGATGAAAATAAAACCTGTATTTCTGGTTCCTTATTCCTTAATAATGTTGCCTTGTCTTTCCTTTGATTGAATGACACAACCCTGTTACCCCATCAGACAGATAAAGCCAGCAATGTCGTGTATTCCATGTCTGAAAGGAGCTTTTAATCATATTCTGTCACCAAGCTGTGAAAATTATGAGTTAAATCTGACAGGTGTTTCTTTACCTTGATAGTCATCTGGTTGAGGAGGTGACCAGTGTGGCAGACCTTGTTGTTGGCCCTCTGAAGCTCCGCCTCCAGTTCGTCCATCCTTTTCTGACACTCCTGCAACTTGCTCTGGAGACACAAAACAGAACCAGATCAAAGAGAGTTTTGTTGTATCTTGTAAAGGCAACTACAGTGGACACATGTATTTGTACTACTATCATTGTTTTGTATGAAGCGTGTGTATATGTGTACCTGGAGCTCCTGGTTCTTGGTGTAGTAGTCGTCTCTCCCCTGCTGCAGCTGTCTGATCTGACTGTGCAGCCTGGTCACCACCGTCTCCCGGTCGTCCCACAGCTGCCTGTACCGCTGCTGCTCCACCTGCAGACTCTCCCTCAGAGACACAATGTCCACACTCTGCAGGTTCAGCTGGTCCTTCTGCACAGACACACACACACACAGATATGCATAGGTTAGGTACAAAGTGTGCAGGAGTTTCTAAATGCTGTTAGAAAGAAGAGATATTTTAAAGCACTTTGCAGCAGTTTGTGCAGCGCAGCTGGTCTCTAAGTGAGGGCAGGGATGGACACACAGACTACTCAACTACTGTGCTACATTTTCAGCTGATTGCTGCCTGAATGTGTCGGTGCTCTACCTCTCTGTCTACAATTCATTGCTGGAGACTAAACGGCGTGCATGGCTTCCCACACCTTCTTGAACACCAAATTGAAAGACTTTTCAAGGCTTTCCAGGCCCAAATGCCTCATATTCAAGGACCCAACATGTAGTTTGAAACACAGCTCAAGGTTAAAGGTATACTATGCCCGGTTAGCATGAGTTCACGGAGCAGCAGCGGCTAACATCAGAGATGGTGCCTTTAAACAGTCCCCAAAATGCAAACAGGACACACTCCTGTGGTGCTGCATCTCCATAAACAAATCCACACTGCCCTTTGGTTAATTCTTAATACTTGTTCTGTCTCTGGCATTTAACAGGGCTAATCTGTGATAATGAGCACGTGCAAACTTGCCATAGCGTTGTTCTGCTCCTCCAGTGCAGTGGCGTTGATGATGCGTCGGAGGAGGCGTCGGTTGCGGACGGCGTGCTGCTCCCTCTTGTAGCGCTCGTATAGCAGCTGGTTGTGCAGCAGGAGCAGCTGGCTGCGCAGCGTGTGAAGCTCGTCCAGCGGAGCTGAGCCTGGGGAGGCCGTGGTAATAATAATGTAATTAACACGGTCACATGCCTGACACACATACGCACTAACAGAAACGAGCTTAATTATTATTCAAGTGTGGAGCACCAGAATAGCACAGATACTGTAATGAGGACAAAAAAAAATTCTGAATATAAATATAATGCTGTGATTTCGCCAAGCTATTCTAGTGTAAATGTCAATCATTCATTAAAACAATATAAGTTATACGTTTCTGACTTTAACAAAGGGGAACATGAGCTGATCAATCGCACACAATGAAAAGAAACTAGAAACTATGCAAGGTATTTTCAAGAGCACAGACCTACAATAACTCTGTAACATCCTTTTAAATTGTTCATAACACACAACGTTTTTTTTTTTTTTTTTAAAAAATCTGTATCATGACGTGCATCAAAACACACATAATGATGTCATGTGACACCACAGTTGCACACTGTCTACTGAACTGGCATATGACAATGTTCATGGAGAAACATTGCGATGGACGATGATATCTTCTTATGGGCTACCCCTAAAGCTACTGTAATATTTTGAATACTTTTATACTTTTTATATGTATGTTGGCCATTACTTCAGCCCCTGATATACTACGGCAAGTGCAAACCAGGTAGTTCTAAATATTTTTTATGTTTGCACCTGTATTCAAACATGTTTCACTGGGTGGTAACTGGTTCGATTAAATAACCTTTAAATAAATAACCAAGAACATGAGCTCTAAGGCACTAAATGTATACACCCTGGTGTCTTCTTCAGTTGCACTTGCAAAACTAATCTGTGCACTGTTGGTGTAGACTTTAACATCAGTGGTCAATGACTGTTAGCCATTGGCAAATATATATTTTTATTTTAAGTCATGACAGTGAATCATTTCACACAGGGGCATTCAATATTTTTGTAAAAACACACAAAACTTAAGGGAAGTTTTTGCACAAAGTCTCAATGATGAGACTGCAAAAACTCTGGGCATCAAACCTGAGGCCTGTACTATGAAGCAGGATTTGAAGTTAGTGAGGTAAATTCAGGGTAAACTCAGGGTTTTCAGTGCTACGAAGCTGGTTCTCGTTTTACCAGGATAAATCACCATGGCAACTTATGCTTAACAGCTAGGATTGGATCTCAGCCTGTCAACACCCCGACCTCTGGCCAGTCAGATCACTGAAGAAAAAAGTATCCATGGACAAAAGTCTGGAGTCTCAGGTAAAAAAGAGGAGCCTGTATGGTGTTATAGGTCACTAGAATCATTTCATTGTTCCAGGGTTTTATTTTTACTGGTTTTAAACCAGAGCTTCTAACAAACACAGAGATCATTTACACACTAAACACACGATTTTAGCAGGATTTAAACTTAGGCAAAGTTTATTTTAGTCCACAGTGACAGTGCTGCTACTTTTACACTCTGATTCCATCACTGCAGCTCAAAATAACATGAGACACCTGTGTCTATATGATATGAAGCAGCCTCCTTCATTCATGGTTCTGATGATGTTGCTTGTCATTAACAACCCCGTCCCCTTTACATGACACACTCGTGGCTGGATAGGAAAACCCAGAGTTGACTGAACTAGTTGATAACCAGCTTTGTAGTACTGGTTATCCAGACGGCCAACGTTAGGATTAGTCAAACCAGATAACGAGAAGATATCGTAGGTAAGTTGAACTGGCTTCATAGTACAGGCTTCTGCTTTGTTGTCACTTGGCATCTTACTTATTTATTCTTCATTCAGATAGTTCTTGATACAAATCTCATTTAAGTTGACAATTTTAGACTTTTTTTGGAACAGCAACACATTTAACTTTTGAGAACTTTTATTATTAAATGAAAAAAGGGTTTTAAATGAAAAGCAATGTACTGCCCTACCAAAATGTTGCAATCAAATGAGGTACAAACAAAAGAGCTGCAGTGTGACTGCCAGTTGAACTCCTGGTTCCTTATTTAATAGATTTCCTGGATCCGCACTTAAACTAATCACTTGTACCTTGGCTCGTGGCCCAAAGTTCCCTCTAATTTTATTGACATCTGTTATGTTTAAGAGACATCCTGGTGGCTAAGAAATAAACAAACAGGTCTGAAAACAACCTGCACCTGTCACCTTTAAGGGCTTATTGATCCACATTCACCTGACAAGATTTTACCAGTCTCTCTTTTGATTTGAACCAGTGATGGTAACTTTAAGACTGCTGTTACCCAGTTAATCAAATTATAAAGATGTTTAAAATGTGACACATGTATACAGCACTCTTCCATCCCTCCAAGAGTTCAACATAACTCCGGAAACAGAGCTTCACTTGTTGACACGCGCAAAGGGCAAGAGAGCAGGGAGAGAACATTTGGAGAAAAATTCTCATGACAGTTTGACTCAGGACGTTCACATTGCTCCAGACAGGTTAAATCTGCCATGAGCACTGAGGGGAATTCTGTTTAGATGCAATCCAAATGACATGACTCCTGTCAGTCAGCTGGGGGAGAAGATTAAATTCCAGAGTTCTAATCACAAGCTGGCCGAGAGTTTTCACAAAAACACACACTGTTTCTATTTTGTTACGAGCTGCAGCTGAGGAAGATTAGATTCTTACACTGGTTTACTGAATGCATAAATAAATAAAGAGGGGAAAAAAATCTCTAAGTGGCCAACTTTCGATTTTCTGAGCTGATCAGGTTTTGCCATGGGACTGTGGGAACTTTGTGTGTTTTGATAAACCGCTGAACAAATTCCCTGTCTGGCTGGGTAACATTTTAACATGCTGTTCATGTCTCAGAGCTCGTGACGAATTGCTAGTCATACCTGAATAATGCTCCATCTGCAGTCTTTATAATAGCGTCTTTTATCAATGTAAGGCAGTGTTGTGCTGCGAGTGTTTTACCTCCAAAGTGCGTCCAGTCAGCTGACTTACTTGGCAACGGTAATCTGGAAAAGGAGAGAATGGAGAAAACACTTTAGAGGAATGATCTCTCTGGGAAGTTTCTCTCTTAAGCTGCTCTGCAGTGATTTATGTCAAATTCACCCACATTTCATAGATGTTGGTTGTAATCCAAAACACAAAACTCAAACCAGGTTTTCCTCTTGAGTCACAACTTGCGTGAAAGGTGTGAAAAGCACAGGTTGACACACACAGTACAAGGGTGATACAGTCCTCATATGTGACCATGTCATGTCTGTCTGGTTAATAAAAAGATATCTGTGCACAGCCAGGAAATTCTTTGCTTAGCATAAAGGGGGAGATAGCTTGCCTAGCTCTGTCCACAGGTAACATAATCCTCCCAGCGGCACCTCTAAAACTCACTGATTAACACACTATATCTTTTGTCTTATCTGTACAATATATGAAGTCTAAAAGTGATGTGTCGTGGTTTTACAGCGGGTTAAATGCTAGAGCTATTTCCTGGCTGAGAGTACTAAGGCTGATGCCAGAGTGGAAATTTGGGAGGTACTGTCAGGAACTCTGCTTTGCTGTCTGGTAAAGGGCGCTGATTTTGACCACAGCCACAAAGCTTTCTTCTGATATCACTGCATCTTTGCAATATGTGTTAAGTTCACAGCTCACTGCTGGAGGCTGCTTAGGGGCTGTGGGATGGAGCTAGGTGGCTGAGAGGCAAGTCAGGGGTCCGAGTGCCCACTATCAGCTGCCCTCCAGTGTCCATGTACCCCAGGATGTGGAGACTCCAACCTGCTCTGAGGGCCCTGGCTCTCTTCTCGCCTGCTATGACTCCCTCTTCAGCCCCGACAAAGCCTCCAGTTAGCCCCAATGACCCAGGGCCGGAGGTTGGCGAGGTCAGTGCCCACGTCCGAACGGCTCTCTGTCAGCTTTCCTCCAGTGCCCACATACCCCTGGATGTAAAGCTGTTTTTTCAGGGAAATTTGTGCCCCTGCTTTTCAAACATTTTCTCACTATGATTGGACGAACAACATCTCACACTCTGGCCAATCCTAGCACAGTAGGGCGGGACTTATCCTTCTGCACCATCCACTCTAGCATCGACCGAGCAATAACTTCCTGTAGTCATCACAGTGAGGCTGTTGGACAATCAGTGGAGACACCAGGAAGACTTCTTTTTGCTTTTAGATGAAGCCAGGCTAACGATTATCCCGATTCCAGTGCTTATGCTAAGCTAAGCATACCGTCTCCTGACTCTGGCCTCATTTCTAATAAACAGACATGACAGTAGAATTAATCTTTCCATCTAACAAGACATTGGAATTAAGTATTTCCTGAAATGTCAAACTATTTCTTTCAATACTTAAAAAGATTGTCCCTTTTTTTTAAACTATATTGCCATATTGCTCGCCCTACAAGTGTCACAATAAAATGCTGAATTGCTTGTTCGTCTATGCCGTACTTTGGTCTCTGTTTCCGCTTATTTTACCCCCTCCATCAGGCCGTGTCTGGCTCTAATGAAGACAGACACGGGGGTGATGGTCGACTGAAATGAGTGAAGCCAGATTGTTCTGTGTCCTGCGCTGACTTTGCTGACATGGTTGTATTATTGGCTCAGAGGACTGGTTAGCTGTGTGTGTGTGTGTGTGTGTGTGTGTGTGTGTGTGTCAGTGTAGAGAAAGAAAGGGGGCGGTGGATTCTGAACAATGTCACACTTGTTCTCAACTGGGTGTTTCCTTTGGGCTGCAGTAACAGAGTGGAAACAACCCAGGCAGGCTGTGCACAGTGAACAGCACATCGAAACACACTCCTGAGTCTCCTCAGTGTGATCACCATGAGTCTCATACTTCCTCCACGTGTTCATTTATTCATTAACAAAAAAAAATGCTAATCTATATCTGCTTTAAACAATTATTGGTATTAAGAAAAGATCACTCAGAGTGCACTACAGATTGCTCAATACACCTGTCATGTAAAGTGGTTGCACACAATGCATTTGGGCACATAAACACCTGATATACTTTTTTGTGACTTCTCAAAATATGCTATGGTGTGTATATGATTTTGTTAAAGGAAGAATGAAAAAGGAAAACTTTGAACAAAAGTCAAAGTGGTTAGATTTACCTCTTGAGAACTCTGTCATGGGCGTCGCTCCCCTGCTGAACAAGGCGATCCAGCACCTCCAGTGGTGAAGCAGACACTACCCCTTCCTCCTCCCCGTCCTCCAACCCCTCCTCCTGCTGCGACAGCCTTTCCATCGCCGCCTTGTGCACCGCCTCCGACGTCTTCTGGCCCACGAAGAGCGAGGCCGCCCTGGGCAGAGCCAGGTCAAAAAATGACTCGTAGGGCACAGGGGCGGGGGTCTTGCTGCACGGGCTCGGGGAGAACATCCCAAACTTGCCCACCTCGTCGTCCGGGGCAGAGGGGCTGCGGTGCAGGTGGTGATCGATGGGGGTGAAGCCAGAATGGAAGGACCAGGACTGCTCGAGGGCTGAGCTCCTGCTGTCTCCTGCTCCTCCACCTCCTCTTTCGCTCCCAACACCACTGGTGCTCGCAGTGGTCTCCCCTTTGTCTGGCGTTGAGACAACACGGTGGGTGTCTCTGACTGAACCTCCAGGCTGGGCGCTGGAGAGGGTCTTGTCTTGTGCCTGACCGCCAGTCAGAGTCTCGGTGGTACGATAGAAAGGCGAGTCGAAGCCCCTCAGGCCCGACAGCTCCTGCTTATCTTCCGTGATCTTCAGCAGCTCCTCTGTGATGGCAGCTGCAGGAGAAACAACATATGGAGGATTGTGGCAGACTTAAACCTGCATGTTCTGAATGTCAATGTCTGCGCTTAAATATTTCTGCAGTCACAACAAGTGCCAAGTGCCTGCTATCCCACACAGACAAAAATGAAGTTTCTGGGCTTCTGTTTCTCCCCAAAGAGGACGGAAATGTTTAAATCTAAGCAGCTAGCTTTGGCAGCAGAGCTCACGCCATTTGGCAGATGCTTTTATCTAAAATAGTCCAATAACCGTGCAGAGCGAGCTTAACACACACACACACACACACACACACAGAGGGATATAAACAGGGATGTGTTAGCATCCTGGATGTTTAGTGCATGAGCTCAGGTGCGTTTAGCTTAACAGGAGAATGAATTCACATATTAAAAGATGTGATCCTGTTCAAAACTTTTTGGTTCAGACAGAACAAAACACTGTGCTGACTGACTCTGCTCTGAAACAAGTGGGATTTGGACATGTTGCCCTAGAAGCTAATGTTGTCATTTCTATGTTCTATTTAACCCACAGAATGCTGCAGAAATAAATAAATAAATGTGCAAAAATCTAGTCCCCTTAAAAAAATGCAAAGCCATGTTGAAAGTCCATGTATCTGAGAAATGCAACTGGTTTTAGTCTCTTCCTTGTGAGTTAAATGACTGTCTGTTGTGTTTTATTTCTACTTAAACTGTAACTGGTGTGCAGTCTTGGCCAGCTCTCCCTCTGAAAAAAGAGATCTCCTACTTGAGGGACTTCCTGGTTAAATAAACGATTAAGAAACCCTATCGATTACATGCCATCTTTGTTTAAAATATATCTAAATAATTATATTGGATTATTTATACTGGAACTGTTTGTGCTCTGGATGAGCAGACCTTGGTCTGACAATTTTATGGTTTGGCTGTTACAACACACACACACACAGACACACACAAACACAGTCACAACGATGCAAAAAAGCATTCAAGAGTGTAACATGCTTGTGAGCCAACTTGTTTTTGAAGACGGCACAAGGCAGTTTACGTAAAACTGATTTCATCTTTCTGTCACTGCCTCATGCAAAGCATAATTCTTCTTGAAGAACATCCCCACTGAGTTACATGTATTTTCCATGCTGAGTCACACAGTCACTGAGAGGATCTGGGTCTATAATCTGTACCAAGTCAATACTCACCCTCTTCCCTCTCTTTCTCTGTTCTCAGCTGAAGCTCCAGCTCCTGTTTCTTCATGAAGACAGACAGCTCTGTCAGAGTCATGGAGACGTTCTCAGCAGCTCCTGCATCTGATGAGGAAGTGGTATGTATCACAAGTGTGGGTATGATGTTAGAAAAATAACTTCTCATAAAAGCCTAAACACCAACACAACAAATACACCTCTGAAATGTTAGATGTTTGCAGCTGATTAAGACTAATGATCCAAACTATTCAACATTTGGTGATCAAGGGGTGTCCCCGACTAAGAATTTTCATAGTCGAATCTGATTTGACAGATTTTTCCTTTAGCCGACTAATCGTCACATCATGTTATTTTCCCCCCCAATCATTAATGAGCTCATTTGCGTTAAAGTTAAAGTCCCACTGATTGTCACACACCTCAGTGTGTGAAATTTGTTCTCTGCATTTGACCCATCCCTTGAGGGAGCAGTGAGCAGCAGCAGTGCCGCACTCGGGAATCATGTAGTGATCTAACCCCCCAATTCCAACCCCCGTGCGTCACCGCTCTCAATTGTTTGGCTACGTCGGAGAAAAAGTAGCCAAATAAAAAATCAGAATCTATCAAGAAAATAATCAGCGGTGAAATTCGTTTCAAGACACTTCAGGTAAAAGAATAATCCTTCAAAAAAGTTTGATTTGAGAGCTCATACCTCCTCTAAAGTGTCTGTTTATGCGCTCTGCCACCGTATATCACCGCAGGCCTCGATGCTGCTCTGATGGTCCTGCAGCGCACTCACTCACCTCATCTTATTTGGATCGAGCAACTGGGTGATTTATTCATGCGTAGTAATCATTATGCCTACTGATTAAACGCATGTCATTTTCAATTTTTTATTAACAGAAATTAGGCTGATGTTTGTATCAAAATAGGCTATATATCATGAATTACTGGAAAACAAATACATTCTATGTCAAATCAAGATGTTCAGCAGCAGTGAGCACCCCAATATAGTCAGAATGGTACGGTCTTGTTTCATAACCACATTTTGCGACCATTCAACGGCGAGACTGGCAGTCGAATCAGACTTCTCCGAATCGAATCACCGAATCATCGACTATTCGGGGTCACCCCTAGTAAGATCCTTAACGTTTAACCAGAAACAGCGCTAAAATCACTATGGTCAAACCCACCAGACTGCATTTAAATAAACAGTCATTTTATCTGGTAAAGAACCAGCACATTTTTATATCTAACTCAACGAATCAAGGGTTTATTTCAACTAAAGTATAGTTGTTTTTTGTTGGAAGAGTGAAAAGACCAACCAAGGGAGCTTTTGGTAGTTTAATTTGTTTGCGTCGACTCTTTATGAATTGTGTTTTACAGTGATAAAATGACTCTTTATTTCAATGGAGTCTGGTTCCATCTTACTCTTTGAAAAAAGGTCTATCTCTGTAGGGATCCTTTCCATAATGTTGTCAGACACTGATAATAACATTCTGAGCATGTCAGTGGCAAAATTAAGCACTTTTAGTGGGTGTAAATTGACCGTGCACAAATGCCCATTAACGTCACCGCTGCTCTAACTCAATACTGGACGAGTTTCAAAAACTGTTCTCACTGTCACTTCCACACAAAAACATGAAAACGTAAGAACTAGGTTGAAAAACACCAAAGTTACCCTTTAAGGCATATATTATTGCACTTTTTAACCATGGCTGTGAGCTAACTGACAGCTCATGATGTTCTCTCTCCACTAGCGTCTGCTCAGGTCAACCATATTTTGGCTCATGTCTAATTAGCTTCTGGCCTGACTGCCCTCAGGTCTGTTTCAGATTGAAAATTAACTGTGATTTTCCACAGGTTAATTTCTAATCAGCCTGAAAATTGAGGACCTGTGACGACCTTTACTTTGAAATTAAAGATGGTAAATCAGTGATGAGGCTTGTTATGACTAACCTCTGTTCGGGGCTCCTTCTGCACTCTTGTCTGTATCTTTCACTGGCTCCTGTCTCACCAGCGCAGGCTTACTGCTCTCTGCTTGTCGACGATCCTGGAAGGTCACACAGTTATAAGGAGGTTTTTTTATATCATGATTCATTTTGGATAACAAATCAGAGGTTTGCTCTAAGTCTTTCAGTTTCTGAGAACATTTACACCTTCTTCACATTGTAACGTGGGATTACAGACATGCAGCACAGGCTGATGAGAGACACTTATTCTCTGCCTAGTTCTACATTTATACACCAGAATAAAAGCCCAAAAAAATCAGACTGCTGCCGAAAACCAATAATATGAGTATGATAATTTCAACTCTTTTCTCCTGTTACTTCACTTCTGAGTGCTAAATCAAAGACTTAAAGACTTGAATCAGTTTCCCTCTAGCTGTCAAGGAAACGAGTTTTCAACATGATAAAAGTTTAGATAATGTGAACTGGCTGGCATATTTATCATATTTCTTTGGATAAACGACATAGGAGGAACAGAATCCTCAACAATTAAGCTATTGTGGAATTCAGAAAAACAGCATACTGCTGATGAATAATCACAATCCACCCACTGGCCTTTTGCAATTCTGTTATGCTGTAAAAAATAATTGGAAGAAGAGTGTTTGGGGATTTTTGTCTTTTAAGGAAAGTAGAAATGAAATCCACAAAAGGAAAAGTGACCATCAGCTGAGTGAACTGATTAATGAAGCTGTAAATGAGATGACATGATTTTAAAATGGAGGGGAGAGAGCGTACCTTTCTTGGTGGACTGGACTGGACTGTGTTGGCTGGTAAGGAGATTATGGGGAAGTCATCTGATAGCGTGGGAGGCGGGGAGGAGGTGGCTGGAGTGCTGGAGGCAGGCGTTCCTTTTCCTCCTGCTCGGGTCAAAACAATCAGCAGTCAGCAGAAAAGAAAATTCCAGATTCCTGTTAAAACTTAAATAACACCATAGTGCACAGTGAGTTAAAATCTATTGTAATCATGAAAGTGTGGTTGACCTGATGTGCAGTGGAAGCGGCTGGGAAGGTGTGAGGCACTGTGGGAGAGCTCTAAATTGGGCGACATGCCCCTGGAGGAAGGGGGCGTGGCCATGCCACACAACGAGGAGGGGCTCCACAGAGGGTCCTTACCCCCACAGGAAGAGTTGAGTTCACAGGTGGAGTTCTGCAAAAAAAAGACACCAAAGAGACAGCACTGAACATAGATAAAAAGCCACTGGGAAATCCTCTCTTCTTTTTTCCTCTTTTATCTTTCTCGCAGGAGGTTAGATTATTGTCTGTATAAGTAATATGGAATTCTAGCCAGTCAAAATCTGCATACCAGCACCTCTAAAGCTGAATAATGACCCACTGTAAAACCGCAGCTTGTTGTTTCTACACTTTGGATTACACTCGGATTAATAAAGGGTGACGTGCTGCCGGAGATATTCACAGTCTGCGAAATCTGGCTGAAATAAATACACATTTTTAAAGAGCTTGAAGATCCAACCATCTCTTAAGTGTACATCATGCAAGAGAGAAAAACAAACTGAACTGTAAGAGTTGTTATATTGACATTTAAGGTGGGCTAACTGTCCACGTTGTTCAACTTGAGCATTGAGTAAAAGTGCATGAAAACATTCCACCTTAAATGTTGCTAGCAGCAGCCAGTTGTAGCCTTTGAGCAGCACAGTGAATTAAATTATGTTTCTCTCTCTATAGCTGCTAACTGTGAACTAGCAAAGGTGAAGAGGTCAGGAAAATGTCCTTTAATATTACAGTTATAGTTGACTAACATATTTAAACTTACCACCGTGGAAGCAGTGGTTTCACAACCTTTGAAATGAGCCACAACTTCACACCAAAACCACACCAGGAAGCAGCCAAGTACAGCTTGTTGCGATTGTTACTCTTCTATGCAGCCTGGGAGACATGTTTATGCGTTCAGGCAGGAGGAAATTCTTTGTATCATAGGTCAACATGTCACAGGAGTCGCAGGACTCTGTTGTTTACTGATTGGCTGCGGGTATTCTCTAGCCTAAGTCTGCCGCTAGTTCTGCCGCACTTTGCCACAGAATCAAATAGTCGCAGTGCAGTCGCTGCTGCAGCTTTCCTTAGATAATGCATGGCATGGCCACAGACTGCACTTCGCTTCTGCTTGGTGTACGCATGCACACGTCATAGGAGCACTCTAGTACTTCAATCAATCAACTAGCACTGCAGCCCTGAGATTAATAAAATGAAGTATAACATTAATTAGCGAGGCAAGCTATTTCCACCTATTTCCAGTCTTTATGCTGAGATAAGACGACCATGGGCTGTGGGCTATAATTTCATATTACACAGACACATTTCCCAAAATGTCAAACTGTTCTATTAATTCTGACTTGCTGCTGTGCATAACAAATCTAGAGTCTATACGGTACATCTGGTTATGCACATATGGTTCTCAGCTTGTGAAATATGTGTGGACTCATATCTTACAGGTCAGTTCACCCAAATTGCCAAAAGCACATATTTCGTCACTCACAGTGGTGTCTGTCTGCTCAAGCAAACAGTTCTGCTTTTATGTGTCAACATCTTGAGATAATTGCTGCTGAAACCTTTATTCTAATACATGGGAGGAAAACAGCATTTTGTTGGTGCTGCCTAAAACTACAACTACTACTACTACATCTATTCAAAGCACAAATGAAATTTGGAAATCTTGCAATTTAAAGACACAATCCCTGATTGTTGTATTAACCCAGAATCCACAAATCATGTCCTCCACTGGTGATGTTTTAATACTCAAACACATTTCAGACAAGTTTCAAAACATTTACACAAAGCTGTCAGGAATTTACAGTATCTAAGATTGTTACTCAGACTTCCCATATTTTTTACAAGCAGGTTGGTGAGATTGGCAAACTCACCTGAGACCAAAAAACCCTCTGCTAACACGCAAAAAAACTGTACAGTTTTTATGAAATAAAACATAGCCCTTTACACAGCAAATGCCACATACTTGTGTGGCTGTTGTTCAGGCATCTACGAACTAAACCAATCATGAGACGAGGTGAGTCAAGAGCTGGGTGGCTCACTCAGCATCTCAGCTAAACTATTTTTTTTGGGGGGAAAGTCTGATGTTAGCCGCAGTCTGTCACTCAAGTGAAGGCCAGGAAATTGCTGCATTGTTACCATTGTTGCTGTAATTATTATATCTTAGATAATACTGTCTGTTAATTACAACATCTCTAAATGTATCTGGACTGGCTCAAGATCCTCGGTACCTTTACCTTGTTTCATTATTATTTTACGAAGCAGTGAAAGTGGAGCAGGTGTAGGTACAGCATCTTGGTTAAAGGACATGTCACCAGCACAACACAGTTCACTCACACTCCCTTGAATAAAATACTAATAACACGTCAAAAACACAAACTCAAGCCAACTGAAAATGTTTATCCTAAAATGGCGGGTCACCCATGTTTTCCAAATATTTCGTCTGTCTGGGTTGAAGGAAGTGTAACGCAAAGACAAATCCTCAGACAGACCCCAGGGGGCAGAAAAACACCCGGACCCCTCCCTCGTGTGGCTGGCCCAATAATAGAAAGGGAGAGCCGGCATCTCCATGGCAACCAGCCCTTCGGAGTGTCTATAGAGAGGTGGCAGGACAAGGACGGGAGGGGGCACGTGTTGTAATTCCTGAAGCTTGACCCGACTGTCTGCCAGCCTGCTGACTTTGATGACTCAAAAACTGTCTGTCCATTCGCGTCTTCAGAAAACAGGTGATTCATGGAGTGTAAACATGACCGCGTGTACAAGAGCTAGCAACGAACAGAAGCTGCTCTGGAAAAACTCTCTGCTCAGCTACTCACCAGTCTTGTGCCCTAAACCAGGATTCTGACAGCGTTTGACCGTATTATGGATGATCTTACCTGCCGTCTGGAGGTCTGTGGGCTGCGGTAGGAGGTCTGTGTCCCTGAGAAGGGGGGCAAGGACAGAGGTGGGGGTAGCGGCTGCCGTGGAGTTGAGAATGGGGTCGAAGAAGAGCTTCCTGTTGTCAAGAAGATAAATAGTCTGATCAATCTTCAAATGGATACACCTAACAACCTGTGGCCTTTCTCAACTCTTTGGGCCACCACAGTTTGGGGTTTGTCCTTTAAACCAGTTAGAAAACACAATGTTTAATATCAAACACATGAGGGTCTCACTGATAAAAGGCATAATTGTCTGGGGCTGTAGACTGCACATAAAGACATGTCTTCCTCCACGTGTATAAAAATTAAGCCAAAATATCTTGGATATGGGCGCTGCCATCTTGCAATGTTGATATTATTTGGAGCCAAAGTCTGCACAGTCGTGATCAGGAAGTGAAGCCACGGTATCAGGTTCCTACCCATACACCAGCCTGACTCAATGCGAGCATACGGATTGGCACACAAAGCTGTCAATAATGATGTCACACCCCCTTTTCATAGCATCAAATTACTTATTAAAACCAAACATATTAGAGAAATGAACACTTATACATATATCAGTGTGACAAGAACTACTTAAAATATTAGAAACTATCTTTGGGAAAGAAACTTTCATTTTTTAGTTTAGCTCATGTCCCATATGCTAACATGGATGGGGTTGGGTTTATGGCCTATACCGCAGCCAGCCACCAGGGGGCAATCAAGATGTTTTGGCTTCATTTTTGAGGAGCTGTTTTGTCAACGCAATTATGGATCCCACTGCTTTTTTTTGGCAAGTCCTGTGACTAGCTAGTATCCATCACATCAACATGTCTAGGTTGGAGGCAGTTGAGGTTAGGGCTTGTGCTAGCCAATCACTTGAGCTCCAAATAACTGTTATTTTCATTAGTGACTCATTTGTAGATTGTTGTTTCTTTGAGATACAAAGTGAAATCAAAGCAGATTCTTTCTGACAAAGCAATGAAAGAAGCAAAACATTTTTAGTTGTTGTAGTGTACTGTTTGGCTGTAGTATAAGAAGGTTGTGACCTTTCTGCCATGTTGGAGACATATTAAGCATCACTTGTATGAAGTGTTTTCTGACCGTAGCTGCTGTGGAGGTCTGTGTAGGGGCTGGAAGTGCAGTCTTGTGGTCGCAGGTGGACTTGGGGGTAAAAGTTCTCAGGCATGGTGGCGTAGCCCTCCTCACAGGAGGCCTCCTTAGGGTCTAGAGACACTTTGGCACATTCGATGACGATATCGTGGATTTCATACTTTTTCCACCTGCAGCAAAGCACAGCACCATTACTCACAGAAAAGATGATTAAACACAAAATTGTTCCTTTGCCAGGCAGAGCAGTATGACACTTACCTGGTGGGGTCAAGCTCATGGTCCTTGGTTCCTGTCACCAGTTCTGGGTGAATACGAACGTGTTCAAGCATCGGCTGAACAGAAGGTTGAACACAAAATCTATATTAGTACAAAAACTCGTATGCCGAGCAACAAAGCAAAGTGACACGGGAAAATAATCTCACCTTCACTACTTCCTCAAAAGTCTCCATGTTTTCCTTCATGCTGTAATGGGAGCGCAGGTACGACACAAAGTTGCAAGGGTACATGCCGTAGAGTCGGTGGAAGAGTGAGTAGACGCTGGCGTGCAGGTGGATTAGATAAACCTCTGAAACGTGTCCTGAACGTGTAATCAAAGGGGGAAAAAATGGACAAGCTTGAACTCCAGACTAACGAATTCTTCGTAAACAGCAAGATATTTGGCAAACAAAGTGAGAGTTTATGATTTTGGCATTTTTTGCACTACTGCTGCTGCACTAGAAGTTAATATGGGATCAGCTGAGACCTCAAGGACTAGCTGGGGCTGACCCATTGAAAACAATCTAAAAGAATCCCCTTTACATGTGTATATATATGTTTTTGAGACATGTCAGGCAGCGCCTACCGGGATTCTTTAGGTTCCAAGATGCCAGGCGGCCGAAGATGTCGAAATACTCCCACAGGTGTTGTTTCCCAGCTTGAGGGATCATGGGTAGCAGGGTAATCAGCACCAGCACTCCGGTTATCAGCACCACTACGTCCGTGTCCGTCTGCCAGGGAATTGAGGTAAGTATTAGAGTAGATGATAAAGTCAGATATTAAAAGAACCTTTAACTGATGATCTGGTGAAGACAGTCTCCCTCTGTTGAGGTTTCTAAATGTCATTATGAGGCAAAACACTTCACCAACCCAGTTGTTTATCCGTTAACTGGTATTTAAACTACTGTACAAAAACTGAGAAATGTATAAGAAGGAACTTTCATAGGAACTGCTGCAACAATTAGCTCAAGTCACATCAGTGTTATTTATATAGCCTAATATCAGGGATCACAAGTTGGTTTCCAGAGGCTTTACTGTACAATCTGTACAGCACACAACAACCTCTATTACTAGACCCTCGATTCAGATAGGGATCAAGGTGAAGTTTCTTAAGTACAGGTTTAACCACAGCAGTCTTCAGGCAAGTGGGGACAATGCCAGTTATATCTGATATATTTACACAGCACTTTGTGAGGCATTTAATAGGCTGCTCCGGCAGCAAACAAAGCAGGCTTGTAATTTATGACACACTAATATCATGTGCCGTGAGAAGTAAACAACTTCCAGTTTAAATTTACACCATTTGCGTTTCATTCTCCTGCAGGCCTGTTAAGAGCATATATTTTATCACTAAACCAGGATGTAGACCTCTTTGACCATCGTGTTTTGGTAAAAAAGAGGTGCAGCTGAATCCAAAATGTGTGGCAATTCATTTATAACTTGTCAAGACATTTCAGTCTGGACCAGAACAGTGGACCATCATCACATTCCCAGTGCCCTTTGGCTGGCATGGCTAAAAACCTAATCTAATCGAGAGTTCAATCAACAAATGTTTGCGCAGCACCACTGTAAACCTCACCTCTGTCCAGTCTGAGCAAACAAATATGCGGTGTTTCTCTAAGGAGCATTCACTGACAAAGCTAATCAAGAATACAGCACGTCAAACCTGGACCACATTAATCGTTTCAGTTCAACAACACACTTTCAGTACTGGCTAGGATTAAATCTTTAGTCTGTAAGAGCTACCTCTACAGTAGTTTGACGTTGAACCACAACCTTGAAAAGATGTAATTAAAAAAATTGTCTTTGAGGAAGAGTCTGACTAAATATTACAGCTGGATGAAACTTCTCTAATCCGCATCCATCCATCCACCTCTCAGTACCCTGACACAGAGATTTCTTTGTTCACTGAGTCCTAACTGCGGTGTTACCTTCAGGCATTTGAGCAGCGACAGCAGCAGAGGGTATCGAGCGATCTTGTGGATCCAGGACGGCTGCTTGCGGATTACATGGCCGAGCAGGGTGAGGGTGGGCAGCCGGCAGGCCTGTTTGGTCATACACTCATTCATCTTGTCCAGAAGGTGCTGTGAGGGAGGGAGGGAAGGAGGGAATGACGGACAGCAGGGTTAGCTCTGTATTTAACACAAGATTGTCTTATTATTCATTAAAGGTAAAGAAACCTTTCTCAAGAACTGTGCTTTTTCCATATACATATATAGATATAAACACTCTGTATTGTGCAAAGTAACAGCTACAAATCACCGCTGTGATTCTGCTCTGACCTCTTTCACAAAGTTCAGACTCCAGGATGGTGTAAGTGTTTTGATTAGATGCAAATAAAATCACAGAGGACTGCAGAAATAATGATGATGACCTCAAAGCCTTACACCACGGCAAATCCACATCTTCGTTTGCTATGGCAATATGCAAATACAAACAACAACAGCAATATGGAGGCAGTGAAAGTGTTCCACAAGAGAGGAACGGTTTGCAGACATTAATGAGACTGAGAGTGAACGGTACAAATACGTCTTTTGAATAAACTCTGTGAACCTATTGTCAGATTATTATTCCAAGTGTCTGACAACATTATGTAAAGGATCCCTACAGAGACAGACCTTTCAGTTAAAGAGTAAAATCCTTTTTATTTAACCAGAAACAGCCCCAAGATTGCAATCACCAAACCCACCAAACTCCATTTAAATAAACTGTATTTTTAGCATGTATAAATCCAACATAGTTTCACATCTAACTGGGTGAATTAAAGGTTTATTTCAACCAAGCCACAGTTGGTAATTGTTGGAAGAGTGAAAGGACAAACCAAAACAGTTTTTGTGAGTTTAATTTTGTTTCTGTCGGCTTTGATTGAAGCATGTTTTACAGTGTTAAAAGTACTGCTTATTTAAATGGAGTCTGGTTGGATTGACAACAGCGATTCCAGGGGTGTTTTATGGTAAAACAAAAAGGATCTTATTATTCACCAAAAATATATATCTCTGTAGGGATCCTTTCCATAGTGCTTTCAGACACATATTAGTCTGAACCTGACAGTGGCAAAACAAGGACGACGTAAAGTGACGGTGCACAAATGCCCTGAGTGGTTACACTGCAACCAGATTTTGCAGCTGCTGGTTATAGTAGTCTTGCTCAATACTGAAACAGTGTCAAAATGTGTTCTTCCCATTAGTCACTTAGGCACAAAATCATAGTCAAATAGGGTCCAAGTTGAAAAATACAGAAGTCACCCTTTAAGCTTCATTTTACGCCTGTCCCTCTAAAACTGAGGAAATTCAAAGCATGAATTAATAGTCAAAGTACACAGGGTGAGGAAAGCAGAAAAGCAAGTGGAGTAGATCCTCTAATCCCAGCGATTCAATTGGAATGAACTGATTTCACCACAAGTTTTTGCCATTTTAAATCTCCTCGTGAGCAGGCATAAGCTTGTGTCGGGGCATTTCTCACCTTATCGTGTGGCTCTCTGACTGAGGAGAGGATATGCATGGCCTGGGCAGAGTTTGTTTCCAAAAAGTAGTCCACTAGCCCGTTCAGCAGCATGGACCCTCGCTCTTCAAGGAAAACACACAATGAATTAGTTCATTTTTGAAAGGAGGAGTAGAGGTCATACTACAATCAGTAAATTCCACCAACAGTGGAATCATGTTAAAGAAAGCAGTCCATTAAAACAGATGGTAAAAAGGACAGTAATGCAGCTATGAACACATAAATAAGCCGAACTGCCCTACCACTGCTGAGCTGCTCGTTGATGAGGCCTCTGATCTCTTCTAGCTGGTGGAGGTCGGAGGTCTCAAGAAGCGGGAGGAGGTCCCCCACGTTGGGCTGCTCCCTGGCCATGGTGGTGGCAGTGCTGGAGGTGGAGGTAGCGTCTCTCTCACGGTGTCCGTCCCTGCCTGCCTGGAGGACTCCTGGGGCCACCCACCAATACAGTCTCCAGGCACCTCTGTAGCGAACCAAGACCAATTCATAAACATTTCCCAGAATTAGTTAGAGCTGGATTTTGGGAAACTATGGGGGGGGGGGATTTGTATACAAAATGTACAGAAAGGTAAAATCATCAAGTTTTGAAAAAGTATTGCAATTTAATTTTGTCTTTAATGTTATTATCTTATATTATCTTTGTAATATGATTATCTTATATAATGTTATTACTATCCTAAAACATTCTCCGGGTCCTCTGTAACTCTGCAGGACTTATTTCCACCCTGCCCAGCAGCAGTACCGTGGCGAACGGTCCCTAACTGCGGGGAGAACGGAGCAGGCTTCCCCGGAGGTCCGCCGCTTTTCCCGGTCCCTCTTCTCCACACTTTGGGCTCTAGTTTCGCAGTCTGGGCAAGGCGGGGGCGCAGCGCACCTGCGCTTCGCCAACTGGGTATGGCCAGGCGGATTTTGCAAGTTTGGCACACCGTGTGCCTGGCGCAGCTACTCCTCTTTCCCACCTCCGTCCCTCCTACCTGCGCAAGTCGGAAAGAGGGAGGAGAGAAGGCGTGGAGTGGGTTTTACACACATCACACCAATCAAATGAGCCCCTCTCCTCGCCCTTAAATGTGCCACACGAAGGCGTAATGAGAGTTTACTCAATTCGCCATGGCAGAAGAGAGCAGCAGCGTCAGACGGCCAAACTTCGCCCAGGAGGAAACTGATGTTTTGGTCCAGGAGGTCCAAGCTCGCAGTGTCCGAATATACGGAACTGCGAGCAGACCTCAACGGGCTGATGATGCAAAGGTAGCCTGGGAGGAGGTCACCACAATTGTAAATCAATGATGCGTTTCTCTCGTGTGCACGCTCTCTCTTTCTCTCTCGCAGTCTCACTCTGTTTCTTTTCTTTTGGCTTTTCTAAGATGACAGATGCTGAATATATACTCCCTATCTGATGCTGTGGCTGTTTGTGGTTGTCTGAGAGGGATGTGAACTCATTAGTTTGCAGCTGTGTGTTGGGTTTCCATTGCGCGTGCCAAACGTGCCAAACGTGCCAAACGGTGCCAAACGGTGCCAATCCCCTTTGATCTGACATCAGATGTGACAGGACAGTCGATATAGAGATACATTTATGTGCTGATTGCAGATAGTTGCATTGAATAGTGTTTTTTGGGGTATTTATTGCATCGTTAATGTGCCTGATATTCTGGAAACCTGCCTGTGAGGTTTTGGTGACGTGTGTGCACTGTCCGCCGGTCAGCCAAACTCTGCGCTCCGCCTGTGCTGACAGTAGACCTGGTTTCAGATGGCGAGCTTTTAGCGCACTTTCAGCGAAGCCTTTTGGCACGAAACTGTCACTGCGCCAAACTGGATCTGTCGATACCTCCCCCTGCTGCGCCACCACACCCATCTCAGCGCACCTCGGTCTGCCAAACTACCAAACTGAGCGCGCCTCGGGTTGCGCTGCTCAAAACTAGCTCTGCGCGGGGTTCGCCACCCTGCGCCACTGTGCGCTGCACCGGGAAACTAGAGCCCTTTGACTTATTTCCACCCAGCCGACAGTGGGACTTATATTCATTGTGCCGACAGTGGCTTGGAAAACCGCCCATAACCGTGTCACATGGGGAAGAGGGAAGAGGGAAGGCGGCTGGAGTTCCTCCAATATTTGCGGTTAGATTATCATATTTTTTATTGACAAAAATATAGGCTGCTTCGGCTGATTTTTTTTAATGCGCACATGTGCCCCTAAATATTTTTTACAGTTGGCACACACTTATTTTTAGTCGAGTGAAACACTCGCACTGTCGAGCACTGGATCTGACAGCCTGAGGACATCGGCACAAAACGCTACAGCGTTCGAGATATTATTTATATCATGAGAAGTCAATACTTTCGGCAGCCTAAATCTTTTATTTAGAAACTATGGCGGGTCAAATTAAACTATGGCGGGCCGCCATAGTTTCGTTAATTAATGGGAAACACTGTGCATTAGTGGTCACATGACAAAACTAACTCTGTGCTGGGCAGCAGCCAATAGGCATTTCCTCAAAAAGCAAGTTTTCTATAATGAGTTAACTGGACATAAAAATGGCTTTAAATAATAATATGATCAACATCCTTCCGGAGTGATGTGGCTTCAGTTCCCCTGAGGTCACTCCATTAGAGACCTATGTGTAATATCCCTATTATGAGCAGATTGTGGTTGTAACACACATTTGAACACAATGTCTACCATAGACTAGAAAACTTTCTTGAAAAGACTTTAAAATACTATAAAAGACTGAAGTCTAACACTCTCTCACATTGAAAGACGATGAGAGTTTTGGGGATCTTGTTGAGTTTGTATTTGCAAGACTACAATTAAATTTTATTTCAGATTATTTCCCATCCTGCTTCTGTTGGAAAATATTACACCAAACTCTTTTTTAGAAAGATGACAATTTCTTACATGTCCGCAAAAACAGACAACTCTAGAAACACGAGATAAAAGGCGTCATATGTCGACAGTATTCTTGTCAAGTCAGTATCAATATATTCGATAAAGATGAACTGTACAAACTTAACATTTTGTATTTTGTTGCCTCAACTTGGAGTCCAACTCCATGTTTATCGTAAACCTGGTTTGCTCCTTCTTGTTCGGCACTGGAGAGCAGGCAGCTATTTTTACGTCACTGAACTTCAGTATTGTTATGGGCCAAGACTAAAAACATACGATAATATTAAACATTTTTAGGTCACCAATTAACCTAACCTGCATGTCTTTGGACTGTGGGAGGAACCCGGAGTACCCGGAGAAAACCCACCCTGACACAGGGAGAACATGCAAACTCTGCACACAACCCCCCACCATGGGTTTGAACCAGGAACCATCTTGCTGTGAGGTGACAATGCTAATTTGCACAATTGTCCAGGGTCCATTGACCTGTCCAGGGTGTACCCCTCCTCTCACCCGATGTCAGCTGGAATAGGCTGCAGGCCCCGCGCAACCCCTAACAGGGTAAGACGAAGTTTTAGCACCACCTTAGACTGAATGATCTAGATCAGTGGAGCACGCAACAACTGAGTTAAAACTCTTTTGATTTTATTCCAACTTCAGAAATTTGTCCACTATGAAATTGCTTGAAAAGTTTGGCGTATTAAATACCACTGACAACAATAACTGAAAACTGTGTGTTGGTAATAATGGGTTAACTGGCACAAGTATCAAAGATTACTAGCAAGTTGCAGCTGTACACTGACATCACTAGCTTGCTAGCTGAAATGACAAACCTCACCTAAAAGCTTAATCATTTAAAGTAAGCCCAGTATTAAACAGCAGCCAAAAAAACATTAGTGGCTACTTAGTGAACATAGTGGAGCATTTAGCAGCTAAAGAGCCAGATGTTTCCCTCAGGGGTTGTGTGTGTGCAGAGCCGAGCACTGAGAGACAGTTAATGTGCGACTTTCACGTACCAGGTGGACACAATCAGGACTCCAAATGAATGCTAATGTCACTCTGTGTCTGCTGGATGTGTAAATAAGCAACTGTTAGTCCTATTACATAAGGTGATAATTTGTCAGCGCTGTGTTTACAGCTTGTTGCACTCTCCCTAAGTGGCCAAAAAATCATTTTAAGCAGGTTTAAGGATTTATTGGTGAAACTGGACTGATTAAAAGGTTCCCTGAGGTATTTTAAACCTCCACCTCATACCGCATTTGCAAACTATGTGCACACAGGTGACACATCAATCATTCCTGTTGATGGTTTCACACTACTCCACTGATCTGATATGCAGCAATGTGCCAATTAAATTTAATGAGAACAGGCCATTTTTCACAGGAGACATTTTAACTTGTCATAACAGGAAAAGCACAGGTTTTACTGATAACATTCATGATGGCTCTTCTCAAGTGGCAATGTAAGTCAAGACAGCGAGACACCGAGCCGACATGCACAATACCAGGACTCTGAAACTGAGGCAGCTAAATGGAATTCAGCCATCATTCATTTTATAATTGACATCATGTGATTCTCCTACTATGACATGACAAAATGTGTAAAGTAAATAAACATATTGTGTTACTGAAATGAGAAGATAAATCTCAGGAACGTACAAACTCAGGATGCATAATATCAGCACATCATCTGTATCGGCCAATATCAGCTTTAAAATGAACTATTAGAATTGGCCATCATGCTTTTTCTTAATTTGCACAATGAATGAATATTACATACATCGGAAATTACTGTATTTCATGTCCTTATCTGCTGATGGAGCATCACAATAAGGGCATTCATGCATAATATGATGTTAATTCCACTACAGAAGAGACTTGATGATCACTAAAATTAGTTGGGGAGAAGTAGATTTATTGATAAAGGTTATCGGTCAAATGAGGTTTTACATATCGGCATATCGGATATTGGCAAAAAAAAAAACAATATCGTGCATTCCAAGCCTTGTCCGGGTATTTCATGACCGTGGGAACCCAAATGAAGTTGTGCCATCTTGCGACCCCTCGTCATGTGTAACAAATTTAGCCCTGACATGGCCTCTCCAACCAAAAGAGTGATTTTTTTTCTACTTATATTCTTTTATTTTGAAAATTATCCAGTCACTAATGAGCGAAAGCACTGATCATAAACTAGGATTATTGCCCTGCAATTGTATGCCTCCATACACCAATCAAGTTTCTCTTACTGTTTACATCCTTGTCTGTAAAAACATGGATGCTTCATACACAGAGGATCTATACAATCAGTACAGTGTCAAGATGGACACCAAAGATTAGTGTGTCACCAATTCAGTATCTGACCAAATGTTTCCCCTCCTGCTCCTGTTAAATGACACTGAATAATAGCCAGAAAAAATGTTTTATTCAGAATTCTATGATGTCACGATTAAGTTAACCTTTGACCTTTTGGATATAACATCATCACTTTATCATTCTATCCTATTGGAGATTGTGGTGTTAAGTTCTGTCATAATTAGCACAAGAACTCTTGTGTTATGGCTCCAAAACATGTATTGTTTGGTCATGGTG